GAGGGAGATTGCTGCAACAGAATTCAGGTGCAACTAACTGCTGAGGTGGAGGTCTGGTGTTGAGTACACAAGAACATTCCCACCTGTTCGTAAATGTCAATGTTCGCACTGCTGCAAAGTCCGTACTGGTCACGGAGGATGTGCGTGAAGTACATAAACATTGGCGGGTACATCCGGAACTCCTGGAAACAGGTTTGTGGATAAACATGCAAATTTTGTAGCATGAAAATGTGGCAGCATCGTGTAGTCGGGAATAAAAACCTGCGTGCTGTATTCGGTGCCAAGTACTCGCGGACTATTTGGTGTGCGATTCTACAAAACTGAAGCAAAGTGTTAATGTCATCCTCCAACTGCTCCGAAATATCTTCATCTGAACCACTACCCGCATCAGACATCGACCGAACGTCGCAGTCTGTTTCCGAAGATGTGTACGCATCTGAAGTATCAGACATCGTTTTGATTTACGCATGAGATTGCTTGTCTCGTGCAAAAGCCATTTATAAAACTTCAACAACAGGAGTACTAATAATTTCAAGTTCTGTGCGTGGATTTGATGGTATGTCCTATTTGTTTTACTGAACCTATGGTAGTGATGACAGAACCTCCACTACAATTGATTTAAATATATTCCTTTCAGCACATGGCCCCTTGGCTTGGTTAACAGGTCATGCAAATTAGTGTGAGCAATAATGTACTTGTTTATCCCTTCGCAATTGATTATTCCCTGCAGCCTATGCCCTATTATTCGGCTGCACTAATGAAGCACGAGGGTGGGAGGAATAATGTCCTTTTTGGAAAAAAAACATGAAATGATTTATGCCAATAAATAATGTGCATCATTATTTAGGGTTTGCAGCTCATTTGCTATTGTTGTTTTGTAAAAGTTGATCAAAATGGTTGAAGTAATTGCCTATATTGGGAAAATTGGAAACGAACCCTCGCACGCGTTCGGTATTCATCGACATTTGTTTCCATACCCTTCACAGCCGAATTCCGAAACATTTACAAATAAAAAAACCAATGTATTAAAAAAAAAAACACAGGGGTGGGAGCAATAATGTGATTTTGTGAATCCAAGAAAATGGAATCTTCTCAGTGAAGAAATAATGTGCACACTTGTGTCTTCGTTGCACTGTACGACCTATTGTAATAGATGTGTAATAATGTCTTCCAAATGGGTGGAAGTAATAGTGTGTGTTTCGATGAAAAAATTAAAAATTGCAGCATGCCAGAAATTCTACGAAGCTGTGATTGTTCCCTGCATACTTTTGACTCATGTAATCTTTTTAATAAAGTGCATGCCTGAGGTGGCCCTAATACTTGACCCATGCTATAAAGTCTTTACCATAACATTTTTTATTCCCTGCAATCACTTTAATCATGGTTGTGTAATTTGTTTTGTTGAAAACAGTAATCTACCATAGGTGTGCGTAATAATGTGGTGTTGGAAAATCGATGGATTTGTACCACGCAAGAAAGTTTAAATCGTGATTTTTAACAATATTTAAGTATCGGTCCACCAATTAGTTTGATCGTCATCAACTTCAGCAACAATGGGAAAAAGTGCGAAGGTAGTGGCATCGACATGGTAATTCATATTACAATGCAAAGGCGGAGGTTCTACGAGACACGAACTAATAACTACAAAGAAAAAGTAACAAACGTGAAGTACACATAACATCGTCCAAACACAACGCCCGAAAAACAGTACTAGCTCATCACAAACGTCTAGAGGGAGCGCTCAATCCTTACGATTGATGGACATATTGTCTCGCTCGTAACAGTACTCGATGAATTTAAATCT